ATACTCAGGGAAGAATTAATTTCAGCACCTATAACACCACAGGAAAACTCCAGTCCGAATAGCTTTTAAAGAGCTGGAGGACTCAAAGAGGGATACTTATCTAAACTCAAATCCTTTAGGGCTTTCTTATCGCTTCTGGTTAAAGATTTTGTTCTGCTCTTTGTGTGTCTGCATCGTTTTTAATAAATCCTACAAGGATTTTTTTTTTTCCCCTATCTGTAATGCCTGGTGGGCCAACGTCCAATTAGACGGAAGCTGACGCAGTGGCGTTCGGATCCAAAACCTCACGTTGTGTTCAGGTGGAGTCACAAGTTTGGGATTAAGACCAGGTAGAATTTGGGGTAGTATTTGTGGTGACAGAATACTGCCAGATTTCTCACATTTGAGGGGCAGAAATGAGCTCTGGAGTTTCGGAAAGGGAAGCTGACAGTAGGTTGTCCTGCACAGGAGTGTCCCCTTGATGGTCCAAGTGTCCCCAGCATCCTCTTCAAGGAGGGCATTATGAAACTACAAGCTGTTTGGATCCAGCAGGGAATGAACTTAGTGTAAAGGTGACTCCAAATAATGAATATAAAGGGCTCATTTCTCCCTGGACCATGTCTGAGAATGGACATTTCTGGAGAGAAAGGAAAAAACCTTACTATGTAGAAAAATAGGGAAAGCAGTTGTTGAGCTAGAACATCTGAGGCATAAGTAATCCTCTATTAAGGCCAGTGTTTTCAGCAAAGATCCCCACTTTCTTCTATTTTCTCCTGGTTTTTTACACTAATGCTTCCACACCTGTGAGCTCCGCACCTTGGTGGATGCAGGTGCCTTGTCCCCGAGTTCAGATCTCAGGAAAATTTTGACATTTGTGTTTGGCAAAAGCAAGGAGCTCCCTGGTTTTGAAAATACCACAGTTCTCCCTAGCAGCAGAGAAAAGTCTGAAGGCAGAGCCCATGGCTTACATAGGGCTGCAAAAGACATTTCCTGTGATTTTCCTAGGAGTGAAAGAAAAAGCGGTCCAGACTTTAAAAATTAATTCCTCAGAAGATCCAAACTGATCCGAGGCGCCCCCAGACAGGACCAGGGTCTGGGTTGTTTGCTCATTAGGGTGAGCTGAAAAGAGAACTCCTCGTCTTAAAAAATGTACCAAGCCTCCCCCTCCCAGGGAAGTAGGGAACTGAGAGAGCAAGAAAACAGGCAGCAGAGGAGCTGGCAATAGGAAGGGCTTTTGATTTTCCCTTTCTTCCATTCTTTCGCCGGCTGGAGTTAAGTGTTTGGTGTGAGCCTGGCTAGCCCTGCACTTGCTGAACTTATCGGGGTTATTTCATCTCCCCATGACCTCTCCGTATTTACGATGGGAACCCTGGAGGCATTGGCTTTGCTTAACTGGTGTATCTTACACTGCAGTTAAGCTGGACCTTAACTGATTACAGCCCTTGATTGATCAGAGAAAGAGGGAGGGGAAGAGAAAGAGGAGTCCTCGAGCAGATACGCAGGACTATCAGTGCACCAAGCAGCTTCGCCTGGGGCTGGGATATGCCACTCGGGGGGATTCTTTGTAGTGCAGCTCTTTTCACATTTATAGAGGCCCCCCTCCACTCTCCAAAAAAGCGAGAGACAGAGAGAGAAAAGCAGGCGACGGGCGGGGGGCATGGAGCGGGCTCAAAGGATCTCAGGAAATCTTGTTTCGAAGCAGTAAGTCAGCACCCGCACTCCATTACCAGTGTCCGCGGGGGGTTGTGATAGTGAGCGAGCACAGATCAGCTTAGCGGAGAAATGGAGAGGGGAAAAAAAAAATAAAAATAATAAAAATGAGGGAGAGAAATCGAAACGGGAGGAGGGGAAGGGGAGACCTTTCTGCGAATTTTGGGTTGTCTTTGTTTGTCTCTTTGCCGGAGAGAGGAAAACCAGAAGTTTATAAAACAATTTTAATTTGCTGAGACTTAGCTGTGCTGCGTGATCTCCCCTCTCCGCCATTATTCACGTCAGGCAGATGCACAGCAATAGGTTTAGGGCTAATTTAGTGGGAAACCTTGGTGTGCGTTTGCTTATTTCTCGATATTTTTAATCTCTCACCAAGCCCCAAAAAGATTTTTGTTCCCCACCTGCCATCGGCATGTCTGAGCTTACCCAAGAACAGACAAATAGGTGCAGAAGAAAGGACACCAGCCCTGCCCATTTTCAAAGCTAAACCTAACCTGAGTCCTTCTGCCAGCTCGGAAATGTTTAGGAATTCCTGTTTTCCATGTTTTCCTGCTTTCTCATCCCAGGTGACTCTGTGAGTCCTAAAATTCCACTAGAAAGATTCCCATTCCTGCGATTAATACCCAGTGTAAAGTTGCCCATGTCTCAACAAAGGGAGACTTTCCTTTCCAGTGTCTTCATTTGACCTTCACAGAGAAACATATTCACGGGGAAAAATGCATCTGGGTAGAATTTGCTTGTGGTGACTTCTGTTAATGCAGTCCACTGGCTAGAAGTAAGGAGGATGGGGATGGCTCAGTTTGCCAGCCAGCACGGTTGAAAAGCATTGGCCTTCACTTTTGGTTATTCTATTCAAAATGCCTTAGCAATTCCAGCTTAGTCAGGAAAAAACCACTTCATGCTTAGGTAACACAGGATGAATAACAATGTCGCTGGTTAGTGAAGCACAGGCTGCTCATTTTCAGAGGGGGGATACTCAGCAGTGCTTGAAAATCAAAACCATTTGATAGTTTCAGGATGGTTTTGGCTTGAGTCCCTCCCGCTTCTGGAAAGGGTGAGCCCATGTCTCTTGATTTTGCCTGTTAGTGAAATCGATGCTGGAAGAACTGGCACTCTCCTTTTACTTTAAAGCCCCCACTACCTTGGCTTTTTTGTTCCCTCCCTGGTTATCCAGACTATTCAAAACGTTGCCGTCTGCTTTTCTCTAAGTGATAGTAGAGTTTGGTGCCCTAATGCCAGGGAGAGTGGCTTGTGTCTCCAGATCAAGCAGTTTTTAATGTAATTCCCATTCTGCTTCTGCCCTTCCCCTCCAAATTACACTTCTACCACAAGGATTTTTCACAACCTGTGTTGGATGTATAACCCTGCGGTGCTACTTATGGTATTGCCACTGCAAGAAGAGCCCACTCCTGTTTCCCAGACCATCCAGACCCAAAGCAAATTTCTCTTACCCTTATAGCTAAGACCTTCCCATTCTTTTGTATAGCTTAGAAACTTTTCTTTAGACCTTCTCCATAATTTGTACATCTCTACAGAAGCAGGGTGCCCAAAACAAGATGCAGTGCTCCAGGTGGAACCTCACCATAGCCTTGAACAATCAGGTAACAACTTCCCATCGCCTTTTGTTCTAATCCTCCCCTTGTGCAGCCTGCATTGGTCTGCTTCGCTGCAGCTCACCATTGCATCCCCGGCTCCATCTCATCCCCGGCATTTCCCCAAGCCCTCTCCATCGTGAGTGTGTGGCGGTTTTTCATCCGTTCAAGTGAGCAGGGTCATTGGAGGACGCAAACGCTCATCTCCATTTCACCCGCTGTGTCCTAGACCGCTCCCCTACGGCGCTGAAACGTCCTTCAGATGTTTTAAGTCACTGGGAGGCATTGATGATATTTCTGGGTTTATTGTTCGCTGCCAGGCAGTACCACTGTTCAAACACAGGACCAAAGCAACTGTTTCTAACCACTTTGAAGGGATCTGGAACAATCCATCCCATACCCACCAGAAGGGATTGGAGCACATCGTGTTCTGTTCCCAGCTTTGCTTCCAACACCCTTCCCATGGCCTTGACAAAGGCGTTTCGCTGGCTGCAACGTATTTTCCAATGGAGTGGGGAAGGTTAGGAAAATGAGACATTGCCACTCTACAGCAGCAGCTCCATCCGCGCTGAAGTCCTGCAGCGCGAAGGACTTGGGAGATTGTGTTAGCTCGTACCCAGAACACCGTTCTCTTTAGCGCTGGTGACAGGCTGACAGATGGATGATAAATACCTGGCTAGATGAGGCAGCGGAGCATCAGGTTTCTTAAACTTTAACCCACAACAAAACAGAAGTAGAGAGTTAAGTCGCCTGCTCATTTATGCCAGAGTGAATCAGGACTGTGCTTGAAGTCAGTGAAGTTTCCCTTAAGGAAGGTCAACGGGAAGTTTGCTCCCCGGGGCTCCAAAATTTACTTGGAAGTGATGCTCCAAAATTTCCTTGGAAGTGACGTTAGATGGAGGAGACTGTAATTACCCAGATCAGACATTTTCTGGGTGCAAGGAGTGTGAAGCGCTGTCCGGGTCCTTGACCTGATTGCAAAATCAAATTTAATGGGTGTTCTTACTGGATTGGTTTGGCATATTGGGATACAGCTCATCTGGGTCTAGTGATTTAGAAAATATTCAAAATTAATTGCTTGGTTTTGTGAGTGCAGTGTTAGTGATTGCTACACAAGTCATTTTAGTCCTACCTAGGGGCATATTTGCATATATTTATCCTCCTTTCAAGTGAAGATCTTTGGGGAAACTGTATTTATCTCCTCTCAACTCTTTCTTCAGCTTTCAGTAGTCCTACAGTCACCTCTTCTTTTTGTTTCCATTTAATGTATGTATAGAATAATCAACTCTTCCTCTTCCCACCAAGTGAAAATGAATCCACAGAGATCAAAAAGCATTAATATGAGGAAGGGTTGCCTTCTGCAAGAGAGAAGGAAAAGATTAGCTGAACAGGGTGCAGAAAAAGATGGAAAAGATTAAGCTGGGTCCCCACCAAATAGCTGAGAACAGTCCTGGAGGACAAAGCATGAGTTACCCAGAGGAGGAGCCAAAATCAACCACAAATGGCAGAGAGACCAAATCCTCACTGAGGAACTCAGATAGAATAATTAGCTTGGTCCATGTTGGTAGTAAATCTGTAAGATCCAGAATGTTTCCCAGCACGGCCATCAAGCCCTTATCAGACTTTCCATTCCCTTGGAAACCGTGTAAATATTAACACCACAGAAGCTGAAAAAAGAGAGATTTCAGCCTACAAACGCTCTTCATAAGAGAGAATTTTTGCCTGATGTAGCATCAAGTATTCCACTTGCTCACGTTCCCAAAGAGAGGGGATTTCTACCTGTTCCTAGGAAAGCAGTACCACAGCCTCAGAAACATCACCCACTGCCAGGAGACCCGTCCTCTCTTTTTCCCTTTTCTGTTTCTGCCTGGTATCCCATTTCGGGACCACCTGGCAGCTCCTCTGGAGTTAACACCCTTCAGCTAGTTGCAGATCATTACGCCTTCCCTTTATTCAGAACTTAGCCCGGCTCAGCAGTTTTTCAACGCAGCGTTTTTCTAAGGCAGCCTCTGATTTTGGACGCTTCGCTCTGTGTCAAATCGGGTGTCCAGAAACGGAGACACCACAGAATCGGAGGGGGGGGACTCTGGAAAATGTTGTCCGCAGGCTCCTGCCTTCCCCATCATTTCGTTTGCTTGAGTTTGGATCTCCTGACAACACCTGGTCATGGAGCATCACTGATACAAAGCCCGCTGTGTCCGGAGCCTGATGTCTTTATCGGTTGGGCATCTTTGCAAGCCCAAAGCAAACTGATAACACAGGGCAGGAGGTGTAGGGGTGCTGAGGACGTACAGCCTCTCCAGGCTGTATTTCCCGTAGGGACCGGGGAGGTGCAGCAACCGGGTCTGCCAAGGATTTTGTCGTGAACCTTACCTGCTGCCCTCCCCGATGCGCGGTTCCTATCGAAGCAGGATCTCTCCCCAGTGCTCATCCGCCCCCAGCGCAGCCAGCCGTCCCCCCTCCAGCCCCCAAACCTAAAATCCGACGGCCTGATTGCCCAGATCGAAGGCCCTAATTGCGCTTCCCTTCCCAAAGCCGCGTTCGTTTATCATAAAGGGTGCACATTTCCCCTGCTACAGTTTCCACGGCCAGAGGCCCTGAGGGCCAGCTCAGAAATGGAGGGAATTAATTACATTTTTTTAACTCCCCTTCTTTTAAAGTATGGGAGAGAGTGATGAAACGTCCCGGGGGGGGGCGCAGAGGGGAGGAGGAAACAGGGGGGAGCTGCAGAGATGAGGGTGAGGAGGGAGGCAGCAGCAGGAGGCAAGAAGCGGGGGGGCTGGCTCTTTCATCCAGGAGGGTCTTTGTGCAATAACCTTGGTCTCCCCAACACATGAAGACCCTCCCCTACCCCCTCTCCCCCATGACAAATGACCTCCGGAAAGGGTAGAAACGAGGCCGAAGGCTCCGAGAGCTGTGGCTGGTGTTGACTTAGCCCGAAGTGCAAGCCCACGCCACGCCTGTGACTGATTTGGGAGAGCAGCAAAGGCAGAAGGGGATGGGGAAAGGGAGACAACCGATGAGAGGGAGGGGAAAGGGAGGGCTGTCAGTCACCGTGATGGACAGGTAGCAGATTTCCCTCCAGATAAAGCCTTACAGATGTGAAGTGGCTATTGATTTTTAGTTAGTGATGATAATGCACCAAGAAGTAATAAATTATAAAAAAGCAAGGTCAAAAAGAAAAAGGTAAAAGGACTTTGCGTTCTTGAGGAGGGGATTGCTCCAGATGCCCCAGACTCTCCTAAGTTCAAAAGTTTCCTGGAAAATGAGTTTATCCAGCTAAAACAAGAAATCAGATAACGCGGGCCTGCCGAGGCTGGAGGGCTCATGCAGGGTTATCCGTGCTGGGTGGCGGCAGAGCGAAAGGGAATAGAAATCTCTTGTTCGCTCTGGTTATTTCTAACACTTTGTGTCCTGGGGTGGGGAAGATCGGATGCTGTCCTCTGATAAACCTGGGCAAACTGAGTCTTGCGGGAGCTCAGCCTCAAATTGCTCTCAGCGTGCCTGGAAAAGGCAGACGCTTCCCACGGTCGGAGCTGCAGAAGAGGGAACGGAGATCTTTGGGGCTCCTGGTTCAGTTGAGCCTCGCAGCCTCCATCAAGGTTCATCTCCAGCACTCAGCTTCCCTGCCTCCTTGGCAGGGACGTGCATCTCGTAGCCGCCTTCCAGCATCTCCCCTCTCCAACCTCCGTTCGGTTACGGATCCATTCACCACTCCGGCATCGTCGTGATGAGATGTCGGCATCCTCATGTTTCCAGGGGGAAATTCAGCCCGTCGGTTTCAGAAAGGGGTCTTAGGATGGGGTGGACTGTCCTTCAGAAGTGTCAGTCTCTCTGTAGAGGGATTCTAAAGGATTAGCAGAGACTAGGAACTTAGCTTCGCATGGCTAAGGTTAGTTGAGTCCTAGCTTAAGTGACTTGCAGAAGCCCTCGTGAGTCAGTAGCAGAGCTGGGATTAGAAATCAGTCCTGATTCTGACTGATTAAAGCCAGTTACTGTCTTTAGCAGGATTTGCGCAAGTGTTTTCTCCAGTCTCAGCTCCTCTGAATTCCAGGAGTGTGAATCTGGGTTTCATTTACCAACATCTCTTTACATCCCCCTTTCTCTTTAAAAAGGGCCTTAGCGGAAGTGTTAATATGACTTCTGCTTGCTTTAAGAGCCTTTTATTTTCTCTGAGTAATATAAAGCAGCTGACTCTCTACGGGAGAGGGCCAAGAGGGAGAACACTAGAAAACCCTCCGATCTGTGAGTGGTTCCAGTTGCCCTTCGTTTTACAGCTCAGGATTTCTTCTCTGCACCTTGCAGAGCTCAGCGGTGCGGACAGCACTGCCGGACCTGGACAGCTCAGGAGAGGAGAAGCAAAACCCCAAGCTGGAGCAACTTTCCAAAAATAACTCATTATCCATAAGTCCGTGTTTTCGCGCGGGCAGGAGGGATGTTTATTGTTTTAAACATCCGATCCTGCTTGTGAATGAAACCCAGTAATGTCTTGTGGCTGCTGTACGCGCGGTATCTGCCCGGGTGAGGAGGTGCAGGGTGTCACACCCACGAGCTGCTGAAGCGAGGAATTCTGCCAGCAGCCGGCGGGATCGAAGGGCATCCGAGGGGATTCGTAGCTGAGCCAGACCAAAGTTCGTGACCCGGCTTTAGTGGAAGGTTACAAATAACTTTGCAGCTGGAAAACCTACCTTCGGGCTTCACTCCCATGATTTCCCCGCTGCATAAGCTCGGAGGCAGAGAGGTTTATGTTACATCCACAGAAAAGCATGACAGCCCTATTCTCGTATTAATCCACTCTGTCTTGCATATTTAAATGCAATTTCCTTTCTTCTCCCCCTTTCAGTCTTTGGGCTGTCATGGGGCAGGGAGTTCCACGGGCAAATTTTACACAGCGTTATGGCTAAACAACTTCATCGAGATACCTCGAGGCTTAATCACTGTGATTAAGAAGCTGTTCCCGGAGGGTCCGGAGATCTGGAGGTAATAATTTAGGTTCTGTCTTGTCTGGAGTGGCGACTGCCCCGTGGTATGGACAGCTAAGCCAGTTTTAACTTTTGGGCACCAGTGGCAAATTCTAAGCTCAGTGCAGGCTGAAAACCCTGAAGGAGAGGAGGGCAGACGAGCCCTGCCTGAGCTCTGTGCTGCCGCCACTGCGCTGCTTTTACTCAGCTTGTTCAAAGCTCGTCCCTGCGTCTCCGTACCGCACTGCAGGCAAACCCAGATTGATTTTTACTTTTTAACTAACCCCCTCCCCAGTACATCCCTGCCACCACCCCCTCCACAGGGATCCAGCCACCCCTGGTCCTGAATTCTCCCCCTGGACAAATGCCCGGGAAGGATCCCAGAGCGGCTGAGTCGGGAGGTGGCATCACATCAAGGAAAAGCATCTTTGCAGGATTCCCAAGTCCTTCCGGTGGTGGGAGGAGAAGCTTTAGAAAGCAAAGGCCATTCAGCTTAAACCCTCGCTCCATGTCGTGGATTAGGGCTGGGCCGGCCACTAACGCGGACAGACACTCTCTAACCCCCTCTTCACCCCACCCAAATGGGAAGGAAAAGGGAATGAAGCAGAGACTTACGGGTTAGAGAAGAAAAAAAACTAGAACAGCTTTAATGAAACAGTAATAGAAATAATAGTGGAATGATAAAAGTAAAGAACTACATACAACTATAGATAATAGCCTGATACCAAACCCAACTCCCTCCCCCGATATCAATCCCCACTGGTGCTGCAGAGCAGGAGGCACTGGGGACGCCCCAGGCTCAGGCGGGAGCTGGATACAGGAGCTGGATTCGGGAACTCAGGATCGGATCAAAAGCAGGAGGTCAGATGGAGCCCTCCCTGGTCACCGGCCATGGCAGAAAAGGGGCAAAGAAGGAGGAAGGGTAGAAACTCTCGTGATCACTCAATTTATACTAAATATGACGTATATGGGATGGAACACTCTCGTTGGTCACCTGTCCTGTCTATTACCCTCCGGAGGCGCAACCTTTTACTTCCTTGTGCCCCCTCTTACTACCTGGCACCCCAGCGTGGCACACAGAGCCAGCAGTGGCCTTGGGCACCATAGGAATAAGTTTCAGCCAGAGCCTTTCTGCATCCCAGTGCCAGGCAGTAACTGTGAACATCAGGTGTTATCACTGCCAGTAGCACACACTGTCTGCAAAAACATGCTGCGAACTCCAGAAAGTGCAGCCTGTTAGAAGAGACTGAACTGGAAAGTAAAAATCACTAAACAGGACTGGGTTTTTTTAGCTAAACCCGGGACACTCCGTCGGCAAGGTGATGGAGGAGGGGATGGGGAAGGTGTCAGGGTGACGCCGCTCTCTCTACACAATCCCTCTTGTGTCCTTCCAGCGAACGTCTCCTCCGCACAATAGCTCACCAGGCCGCTGGTGGGGGATAAAGGGCTCATTTTACCACTTGCCAGGCTCCAAATATTTCCAATTTGCCACTTTAATTGATGTCAATAAGGTTATGTTAAATTCGGAGATTTTTGCAGCCGCTCGGCATCTGAGCGCTTGGCCTGGCCCCCCCGAGGTGATCGGCTGTCCCCTCATTTCCCTGGCACAAACGCGGCACGTCACGCCCACGAAGATCAACCAAGAGGCATCAGGAGTTCTCTTCCTTCCCTCGCTGCTGCAAACTCTTTGCACTCCTTGCTTGGCAGCCCCCGGGGGTAATTTTGCTGATTGCAGCAGGCAATTGCATTAAAAGCGCTAGCGGGATCGGGGTCCTTGTGTGAAGGCAGCAGCTTAACCGAAACTCACCCACAGGAACAAATCTGGCATTTTCGCCACAAAACAAGAAGGGAAAAAAAAACAAAACAGTTCATCTGTTTCAGGTCTCAAAGCAGGAAGATCGCTTGTGTGCAAATTTAATTACATTTTCAAACCAAGCCTTACACTGAAATGAGCCAATCCAGGACCTCGTATCCTTTGACATTTTAGGGTAAAGAGAACTTTGACATTTCAGCCCCTAAAGCTGAATCTGCGTCAAAGCCAGAAATGGTTTGCATCTAGTTTGGTCAGGGACTTTTGCAAACCAAACCCTGCTCGGGCTTCCGAAGAAAGGGTCTGCCTTCAGCATCCCCTTCTGAAAATATGGATTTTTGCTCCCTATCTTAAGTGTCTCCCATCCTGAGGGCTGTGCTTAGGAAGGGAGGGGTGCTCGTTCATGGTAGTGTGTGTCAAGCAGGTTTATTCCTTCCTCCAGTGTTCATGCTGAGCAGCACAGCTGACGTTGTTGGCAGGTCAGCAAAGAAAGACCAAAGATGGAGCGTGCTGTGAAGGAACTTCTCAATTATCCCTATTAAGATCTTTCAAATGAAGCGTTAGACACGGAGGAGCGAACTGTGGGGTCTGCCTGCTGTTATTTGGTGGAAGCAGGCTTTCATTCTCCTGCCTGGCCAAACCTATATTGATGTTATATATTATATTGATAGATCACCACTGTTATAGACTTTCTCCCTGGTATGCGTGAAGGCAGATGCACACAACCCTTTTCTCCTCTGGATGCTGACGTGCTGTCTCCTGTGTTCCTCCAGGTGATGAGCATCCTGAGCAACCCCAGCGGGGTTCCTCCGCAACCCCAGGCTGACTTCTCCATCTCTCCCCTTCACGGTGGCTTGGACACCACCAACTCCATCTCTGCCAGCTGCAGCCAGAGGAGCGACTCCATCAAGTCCGTGGACAGCCTCCCGACTTCCCAGTCTTACTGTCCTCCCACCTACAGCACCACCAGTTACAGTGTGGACCCAGTGGCTGGCTACCAGTATGGACAGTACGGACAAAGTAAGTGCACTGATTGTATTCCCCCTGCACGGGGAACAGGAGAAGAGAAGGAGGGAATGTAAGAATTGGAAGGGATCTGCCCATCTAGAGAGAAAAAGGGAATCTCCTCACCAGATACAGATGGGGAGTGCTCCACACAGTCTCCCCAACACCCTTGTAGTCCAATACAAAAGTCCCAAGTGAAATATTTTTGGTAGATCATTTCTATTAGCAGAAAAAGACAACTTTCAGATCCCTCTCCTTCCCCCTCTCCAACTCCTGCTTCTCCAAAAGCCCTGCAGCATGTCCACGCTGCTCAAGGCAAAGGGAAGTCGGGATCAAAAAGACAACTTTCAGATCCCTCTCCTTCCCGCGCATCACTCAGGGATGCAGAACCATACGTGGTGCTTCCTCTCCTGCCCTATGCAAGGGTAGGGCTGGGTCCACGCTCAGAGATTTTGCTGCTAAAAACGTTAAGGCAATGGCTGTCAGCTGGGCTGCGGTTCTGCAGAAGCTGAAGCGATGCTGGAATCGTAATCCTGAACCTAAACCTCAGGCCCGAAAGACCGAGGGACCTGGGGAGCGTCTGTTTCTCCTCCAGAATTGTTGGGTCACAAAAACACCAGCGAGCCTGGCAAAGGGCTCACCTGCCGGTGTTAAACTAATAATAAGTGTGGTGGTGTGAGAGAGTGATCCGTGGAGGGTTAAAGGTGCATCCTCTTCCTCCGGGAGCGCTCCTGCTTGCCCATAGCTTGTCCTCAGTGACCTTTCCTTCCATTTGGCTGTGGCTTTTTATTCCCCTCTCCGTCACAGCCCTTTAATGTCTTTAACTTCTACAGCTAAATGAGAACCGGCTGTGGCGGCAGACGGGATCAATAGCAGCTTCCCCCCACCCCTCCTTTTTTTGTTTTTCGGGAGTTTGATCTGTGACCCCTTGACCTTCCCCTCGCTTCTGGATGTGAGGCTGGACACACGTGCTATTGATAAAAATCTTAAACAAATTCCAATACCATGTATTTCCAATAAAGATTCCCTTGGGCAAGACGTTAGTCACACCCATGTGTGTAAAAAATAAAATAAGGAGGAGGACGAACTACGTTTTCTGAGAGAGAGAAAGTCCAGCAAAAGAGAAGGAAAGAGAAAGAAGGGTTTGTCTTGGTTTGCTGCAGGAATTTTTACTTGGGCACGCTGATGAAAAACTGCTCGTGCAGCCTTATTTATGCGCTTTTATTTGCCCTTTTTTCCTGATTTCTGTCAGACGGCTCCCTCTTTTCTGCTAGACACTCATTTAAACTTATAAGTCCAGTTTAGTCTGTGGTTCAGAGTTAACAGTAATGACAGTTTAGGCTGTCAACAGACCCGTGTCCACCAGCAAGTCTTGCGTGTTCAACAGAGTTAGTCCTGACATGTCCCATGCCTGGAGACGTGCAGGTAGCTTAGTCACGAAGGTGTCCTTCCTGCTGGGACAGGGCAGGTAGGTGAGAAACCATCACCCACCATCCACAGTGCCACTGGTTCCTGGTGCTGGGACCTGGAGTCACACCACGGCCAAGCCTGTGCCTCGTGGCACCGACCAGCCATGGCTGTCCTAGGGTGGGATCTCCGCCGAGCAGCAAGTTCTGCACGTGTGCACATACGTGTGCGGTTGTTTGTGCAGGGAATATTTAACTCCATTTCATTACACACCTTCCCTTTAATGAGCCTCGTTTAGAATAATCTCTGGGCGAGGAAACAACTTTGTTGGTAATTAGTCCTGTTAGGGCGATCACTTAGGTGAGGTTGACCTTGATAGAGCAACATTTTTTCTTGTCTTTCTCAGCTTGTGTTGTATTTAGCAGATACTTCTAATTCCTCTTCCTTTTTAATTCTTCACCACTTCTTTTCAAATGCTGTTCAGGGGCTGATCAGTGTGCTGACCTCCACAAGGTCATTATTTAGTGATGTCCGATTCAAATTATATGTTCCTTCCTTCTATGATGTGGCAAAAAAACCCCGTCTCTTTAGTGAACACCACGATATATTAAAAATGAGGGGTTGTTATGGTGGGGATAGGCTCTGTGTAACAGGGAACATAACCAAGGCTTCTAAGTAAGAGCTCTGTGGCTTTGATAGGCTTTGGACTTGGGCTGCAGAGAACTACCCTCTTCCCACTTCTCTCCTCCTAATTGTCTGGTTTAGAAGCACAAAACCAGGCACGCTTTCACTCACACATAAGCAAATAAACACCCAGAGCCCTTCGGGTATGTTTCTGGTTTTATTTTGGCTTCTGCTCTATTAAAGCAGAAAACCATGTCCTTGACTTCTGGCGGTGGGATACCTTGGCGCCTTTGAACTCTTACTACCACCAAAAAAAGCAAAATTGGGAATTTAGTGTGTTTTTCTTAGAAGGATGGGATTCCCATTAGATTTCCATTTCACTGGGTACTGTTGGGGATGACCAGCTCCAACCATTTCTCTCTGTCTTCTCCCAAGCACTCACCTGATTCACCCAGAGCACGGGTGACACCAAGAGCAGAGGCACAACCACACAGGCAGCATGTCTGAGGAGCGAATTTACTCTTTCACTACAGCCTCTCAAAGACATTATTTAACATCCTTACCTGAAATACCAGGAGATCAAGCTGAGAAAGTCTAGAAAAGAGCCATAGCTTGAGGTCTAACCCCATGCACACCCTTCCTTGAAGCTAGAGGCACCGTAACACAACGCGGCAGAGCCCCACACTTGAGCCACGCTACGCCAGGACCCCAGTCCCTGAGGAACACCGGCCAGTCTGCCAACTCCTCTTCTCTAACTCAGCTCCTTTCAGCTTCTGCCGCTTCCAGAATCGTTTTGGCCCCGGGTTTAACTCACCTCGTGCTGAGCCTGGTCGCTTCCATCGCACCAGCCTGCCAGAGCTTGCACAGCCTGTGCTGTCCCAGCCGGTGAGGAGCAGAGATGCCAGATTAATGTGGCCCCTGCAGTTCCCAAAGGCCGGAGCTGTGTTAATGATGCCGGTGATAGAACGCAGAAGCGTGAAAGGAATTCTAATAGATATGACAAGTTTAATAAGAATTTGTGTCTGGAAGGGACCTCCTCTGGGGCAGGCGCCTGACAAGACATTGATGGCTGAAATTTGTTTACTCATTGGCACCGATTGTACGTCTCCTGCCAGCTCCTTATTAATCTAATTTGAGACATTAAAGCTAGTGAAAGGGAGAGACTTTGACTGAAGCCCAGCTAATGAGCAATGTCACCATCCTGCCCCGGTCCTCTGCTCCCTCAGACCATGGGGCCCTCAGGCGAGCTGGGGTAGAGGTTCAAGTGTCACCTCAGGAGTTGTGGCTGCTGAGTTGGGGTTTCTCACCCAGATGGAGATGAGCAGAGCGGATCTTCTTAGGAAGGGTGGGTGGAGGCAGGCACCAGATCTCACAGAGCTGAGTCGGCACGCAGGGGACAAGTCAGATCCAAGCTCTGTCCCGACTTGGTGAGCTTCCACTGAAATCTCTGGGATCGTTTACACCAGCATCACTGGGTGCAGGAGTTGGCTTTGCCACCATGAGGTGATACAGGGAGATGAGGCTCGATGGCTTATCCTGCCAGACTTCTGCTCAGGCTTGTCTTCAGGCAAATGGAAACACCATTTTCTGTGGCAGAAGTAGAATTTTAGGCTGTTTTTTTTCAGTAGATCCATAGAGACCTAGCTAGGTATTTCTGGCAGGACCATCATCTGTTTGCCCTCTTTGCTAGGAGCGCAGCAGGACCCTCTTGTCTGTGACCACCACTGCGCTGGGTCTCTCTTTGGTCAATCGGTGGGGTCTGTTGGTTACACAACCTTTGACGCCGAATGTCTCGTTTCGTGGGAACGCTAACGTCATGCTGTTTTCTCCCCCTCCTTTTTCTCTCTCCTCCTCCTCAGCTGCTGTCGATTACTTGGCCAAGAACGTGAGCCTGTCCACACAGCGTAGGATGAAGCTGGGAGAACATTCAGCCGTTCTGGGCCTCCTACCAGTAGAGACGGGCCAAGCTTACTGAAGAGTCCGACTGTGCCAACAACCCACTCCAGCATCTTGGTACCACTGGAGAAAACACCACCAGCCTTCCAGGGATCTACCTGCACCCGGACCCTGCTCCTTTCCAATTCCCTTCCACCTCGCACCAATCTGAGCTGTGAAGGAGACGGGAAAGAGCGGGAGGGCTCTCCAAGTATCCGGCTCCTTGCAGAGCATTCTTCTCAGAGGCAAGCCTGGCCTCTGGGACCTGACTCCTCCTGTGGCCAGAGACAACGGGTTGGGTGCATTTATTAACCCCGAGTTCATGCCCTCCCTCTACCTACCTGGCCATGGCATTTTGCCCAAGCTTAAGGACTTTCCATTGATCTAGGTAGTTGGCATAGTCGAAGCCAAATTGATCTTTTTTTTTTTAATTTGTAAAAAAAAGAAGTGTTTCGTTTTGTTTCTTTTTCTTTCCATTGCTGTAAATTTGATGAATGTTGTATAGGAAGGAATAACCAAGCTGATCATTAAGGGTGATATAATTCGGGACCACAGAAGACCTATGGACCAAATATAGTACTTGTTTTAAAAAAAAAGAAAAACAAAACCAACCAACAAACCATAAAGACAGACAAAACCAGAAAAAACATATATTAAAGTGACAGCAAATTTCCCCACCCCACTCTACCCTTCCGTTCTCACTGATGGCTTCCCAAAGCAGGGCCAAAGCAGGCCAGGTCACTGCTAAGCAGGGGCAGGACATAAGTCTGTCCAGCCTGGGACCTTTGGAAAGTGTAAATGTAAATTGCTGCATGAGGACTAGAGATTCTGGGCGCAGGCATGAGCAACATTTACTTTTCCTCCTCGGGACCAATTTTTTAGACCTGATTGTCATGGAAAAGGTATGGGCACCTGATAGCAGAAGGAGATGCTATAGCGACCGCTGGCCTTGCACGCACAGAGGAAGGGTGTCCGACCGCGCCGGAGCTCTCACCCACCCAGTCGAGAAGGGCGAGGGCTGTGGGTGGCCCTTCTTCCACTCAGCGGGAGGGAAGCTGGCCATGAGAACAAAGACAAGAGAGGGAAGAGTCAGAGGTGTTCGTTAGCTGCCTGCCTGGAGGGCTCAGTGTGCAAAGCCAGGTTCTTCTACAAGGCAAGGGCCACCCGAAAGAAATTGAGGCTTCTTCTGAAAGTGCTTTTCCCACAGCTGCCTCTCACTGAGGGATGGATGTGGCCATGGAGTCAGAGAGGAGATGACCTGAAGAGCCTTTCTAACAGCAGCTAGGAAGGAAAGGTACCTATCTTTACTACAGGAAAAAATATACCTTGCCCAAGGTGTTCTTCATCCTTTACCTGCCAGGAGAAATCCACCCTTGTGGCTCTTCCCCCACCCCTCTCGTTTCATATTCTCTTCTGTACGACTGGACCTCTCAGTTTCTTCCCTCTGCTTTTCGTTTCAGTGGTGGAGTCTTTTTCTCTCTAAGCCAAATCTTATTCTCTGGATTTATCACCCCCACTTCTCTGTAGCAGCCAGCGCTCTCGCTTTTGTATCAGCTCACAATTCTGCTCATCACACCGCTCGGATAAAAGCAGCCAACAATAGGAGGGTGGTGCTAAGTCACGACCCACACGGATTTTTAAACAGTTTCCCTTTTGCGCGCAGTGATGATCCATGATGATTCTCAAGCAGATGTTTAATATCATAGACTTTTTGCCTCTCACCTTCCCGCGTTGTGAGGGCTCACTTCAAGGACGTGCTGCGGTTTGACCTGGAGAAGGCAAGGAAAGCTGCCGCTGAGATAAACACCCCGATGCGCAGAATCTGTGCTGGCCAGTAGCTGATGTATAAAGTTCAATGGCAACAGGCAGTACTTAAATGTCATTTACAGACTGTTAGGGTTTATAACACACTTGCTATTTTATATGTCTGCTTTAGGATGATGGATGTCTGCTTTTTTCCAATGGCAATAACGAGGGACCACGTGGTCGGATGAGTTCTGGTCTAGCATATGCTGCTAAGTTGTGCTCTCTTTTGTTGCTGCTGCTTCTTCCATCCTTCTCAAATCATCCGACCTTGTTTTTGCAGCTGAAACAACAATTTTCTGGGGAACTATCCCCTGCCTTGCCCCAACATCATTTATCACGGACCACCAAGTCGCTTTCTCTTGAGCCATGTGGACGAGTACCTGTTCTGACCAAAGCACAGCTGAGCTCCTTACGTTGCTCAGCATCCTATCAGAGCCACATCTGGCTTTCATCAGTGTTGCTTTACGGCTCTGAGAGAGCCTGCTCTACATTCCTGAAAGCGCATTAATATGCCTTTCACATGCTCCCGTGCATGATTGTGTGCAGGAGCTCTGTGCAAAGCAACTTCTGCATCCAGAGGCTGTATCGCTGTGCAGAGATCCCAATTCCTCTTCTTCAGCTCTATCACACATAGAGCTTCCCTCTAGTCGTGAAAGACTTTCCTTGGATCACAAAGCTTTTGAAGCACTTGAAGCTTGCAGTTCTTCACATCCTTTCTCAGGGCAATGTACAGCACCTACAGCTGGAGGCCAAAGGCACCGATTTCCTTGAGGTGACTGAAGAGCCCAAATGCCTCCGACCGGTCGCGTTACCTGAAGCACGCTCCCTGCTTTGTGCCAGCATGAGATCTTGGAAAGCAACAAAGGATGCTGGTTTATGTTGTTTACATGTTCAAGCTGATCTAAGGAAGAAATCTCTTTTGAATTCCAGTCCTGGCTTAAATGTCATTCCCAATGACAGTAGCCTCCAGCCACACCTGAACTGGGGGATGGAGGGTGAGAGCAAAGGTGTCTTGTGGTGGACACTAGCGTAGGGGTTAAGAAGAAACCAGCCCTGCTACTGCCGTGACAGACGGGGCAATCACCCAGCCTACTACAATATGCACATTTGGGGTCAGACTATATGATCTTTTGAGGTCCCTTCCAACCCTTCACATTCTGTGATTCTGCGACTCATGGCTGAAGCACGTGTTCGAATTCACTCCTGTCTCTCAGCATCATTCTGAGCCAACTGCTGAAGCAACGAAGCGCACGGTTTTCCCCGCGTGCCGCATTTAATAGTATTTAAGAGGTCAAATGTTGATAACCATAGAATCATTCAGGTTGGAAAAGACCCTTGGGATCATTGAGTCCAACCATTTAACCACCCAGTCCGGGAGAACCTTCAAATCTACATCCTCCTTTCTGCTGGAGTTTGCAGGTGGTGGTTGTTTCTACCCAAGACATTGGCAATCCCTTGTTCTTTGTACGTGAAGTTTCTGACCGAACGCACTCCTAGCTGCCCGCTCAACTAGAAGGAAAGTTTCAGTTTGTCCTGAGAATTGCCTGTCGGCTCTCTCCTCCCCACTATTACCTGTTCTCCCCCATCCCTGCACCTCCATCTCCCCAGTGGATGGTTGGTCCTCACACCAAGCACGGTATCGAGGAGGACTTCACCTGAGCTCAGCAAAAGCAAAAAGTATAAAAAAAGAGGGAGCACTGTAGAAACCTGTTTGCCAAGTACCTTCACCAGAAAGTCCATAAACACCCTGGGCACTGCTGTAAATAGAGTTCTTAGAGGAATATGAAAAAACGCCCCATGCTAGCGCAAATAGCTATTCTCTGACCTTTCCCTCGTGGTCGCACTTTGTACATTAGTTGGAAATTTGGTCATGTGCTGTATGTTTATAGAAAGTTGACATTTTTTTATACTAAAAACACAAGAGAGAGGTAAAAGGGAGAGAGAGAGAGGCGGGGGGGGGAGGGGGGGGGGGAGGGGGAGGGAGGGATGAACTGTAGAAATTTGCCTATCGTGTGTTTTCAAAAATACATTCCAGAATTTTTGGGGTGGGATGGGTTTGATTTGGGGAAGTTTTTTGGTTTCTTCGTTTTGTTTTAAGGGTACGTTCCATGTATGAAAGTCAAAGTATCTTTTCGTTTCGTTTTCGTTTCGTTTTACGGATTGCCAACCTCAGCTCTGCTGAAAAGAGACAAACTCAGGGGGTAGGGTGGGGACGGG